AAGAATAAGCAGTTAAAAATGGGTGGAAAATCCTAGGGAGTACTTAACACAGATAATCAAAAGAGACTGATGACCTTTGATTAAACCCATTTACTTGTGGAGTGAGCTAGGAGGTGGCTCTAAGATAGTCTGGTTCCCAACAATGTCCACGGCCAAAGGGCATGTTCAGAAGTTCTCCTCCTCCCGTAGAAACTGGAACACAGATGAGAAGTCTTTTTTGGAATAGCCCTTTGCACACATCATTCTGTAGATCTGATGGGCTAGACTGCCCAGAAGGATTGGGCTCTTTGTGCTGGTAGCAGAGTCTTGTGCCAATCCCAGATCCTAAATCAAACAAGGGCAGGAGGGAATACAGAATACATTAGGACTGGTGGTAAAGGTGCACTTTGAACTGTGGATCCTAATGCTTTGGTTTCAGAGAAGGAAAAACAGATTCTGAAAAAATGTTTCTTACAAACATTGTTTCCTCTCTATATATCCATATGTATGTATGAATGTATGTATGTATACCTATATATATCTACACATATACATATAATATGTAATACATAATATAAATATATACATATAATATATATGTATATATATTTTTTCTTTTCTTCCACCCCCTCCACCCCGCAATTTGGTAAGCTGGGAATTGAGCCCAGGGCTTTGCATATACCAGGCAAGCACTCTACCACAATATTTTTATATATTTTTATAAGTACTGGCACATAGCTGCAAAGCTGTTCCAAACAGAAACCTTGATTTCTGAGTGTCTCCTTCATTACCCCATCCTCTATAAAACCTGTTTATTTCTGGATAAGAGTTACTATACAAATAGGATTACACAAAGAAATGATTTTCAAATCTGTACAAGTCTGTAAGATTGCCATACAAAAATTCTAACACAAACAGAAATAAACTGCAAAATAGGAAACAGAGATTCAAATATTACTTCCTCGAATAAATATTGAAAGTGTACTGACAATGTACAAGAAGCTGGGATTCAATGATGAACAAGATAGCCACAGCCCACCCAAACTCAGTCTACCGAGGAATAACAACAATTAAATAAACATTTATATGATTTGGAGAAGTACCCACCATGGGAGCCTGGGAGGCATAGTGTGTGGGTGCTGGATCAAGTCTTCCAGAGGAAGAAATGGCTAAGCAAAGATCTGAAGGAGGATTCGTGTAAGCCAGGTAAAAGGGGGAAGGGGCAAGGAAGAATGATCTTGGCAGCGGGAACAGCAAACAGGAAGGTTTCAGAGTGAGAACCCAGGTGGAAATGAGTTCAGCATGGCTGAAGCAAAGAGAGGGAATGAGAAAGCAAAAATGAGTCTAGTGAGGCATGCAGTCCAAATCACCAAGGGGCTTATTCGAAAATTGTGGAGATGGACTTTAATCTGTAAGTTACAGAAACTCTTAAAGGAAATTTATGGGAGAAGTGACACAATCAGGTCTATACATTTGAGAAAGTCCATTTTTGCTATGGTATAAAAAATGAATTGGAGAAGATGAGGTCAAAAAGCAAGGAGACCAGCTAAGGACACCTGTGGTATAGCTAAATGAGCTGCAGCCAAGATACCGGTGGAAGAAGAAAAGGGAAGTGGATGAATTCAAGGTATATTCAAGAAGTTCAATGGACAAATGCCACGAGGCATGAGGGAGAGTAAGCCAAGTGTGGCATCCAGGTGTGCCTGTTATTATTTTTGTAATCAGAAAAAAAAATCAATTGGTGAAAAATAAGCTTTATACAGAAATCTGAAGGTCTGCTGGTCTAAAGAGTATTTTCTACAGTTAAGATCACAAACGAAAGGAAGCCCAAAACTTGCTTTGCAAATGACTTAACTAATTTACACATAAATCTATATACATTCTTAAACAGGAAGATGTATTTAGAAACCATGGGAAAGATTCCCTGGCACTGTGTATGTACAGTGTTAACTATCAGGAAAGTCACTGCTCCCACTCTAGGGAGTTGGTAAATTAGCATAAATGTATGATGAAGAACAAAACTGTACCAGCTCATGTTACAAACAAACCCAAGGACAAAAGAAAAATCCTTGCTTATTCTTCTGAAAGCCCAGGAATAAAATGAACAAGATAAGGATTTTTTTAATATAAATTTTTACTAATTTCTGGTGGGAAAGTGAACCACTATTCAACTAATTTTACATTCTAGCATAGACATATTTTGTTAGAAGGAGGAAGAGAAATCAGACCACTAAGCATCTCCCCGCCCTCCCTGCCACCCCATGGGTTAGCCTCAGCATTTACCATACCTTAGCCATGAGTGTTGTTCCAAATCCACCCTGATAGTTATTAGCGGAGGGAACTCCATCCATCACTCCAGGAACAGGATTATAAGTGTCACTTGACCAACACCGTCCTGAACTCATATTTAGGATTTTAGCCAATAGTTTTGGGTCAAGCCCTAACCTGTCAAAGGTCAAAGAAAAAAATGTTAAATGTCAAAATGTACAAGTCATGCATGACTTATTTACACATGAGGATGCTCCATCTTCTCTCTCCATTTATTACATGTCTTTTAAAATCAAAGCAGATTGATCTGAGAGTGAAGAATTTAATCTTGAATTATAGGATATTAAAAGCTACTGATTGATTAAACATGATCATTTCTGAGCCAAGACATTTCATATTTAGAGAAAACCTGCACTACTGTACAATTGACAAGAAATAATAATACATAATTGCACGAAAATGTGGTTGGTTTGTCACACTAGGGGTTTTCTAATTTTTTGAACATTACTGCTTTTATGTGTTACTTATGAACTTTAAACCAATATGAAAATCTAAATGCTACATTCTTTACACACGAATGATATATTTCAGAAATACTAAAAGATAAATGATACATCATGGGAGTCCTTGTGGATGCATTCATATATGTGTTTATTACTTTTGTGAGAATAAATGCAAGAGGTCAGCTTTGAGTAGTACAATGAGCTTAAGAGAAGTTATCTTTATAAGGAAGACATTTCTTGCTGCAAACTTTTCTTTATTTATTAAATCTTCATTAGATAATGTTGCTTATGAAGCAAGTCTGCCCAGAGCTGTGACATATGCTATCTATTCAGAGACATGCATTATAGTTCTGGGTCAACTGCTGATAAGGTTACTGATCCTGATAAAACAAAGCTTGTCCAAGCGGAAACATCATTTGTTCTACCACTGGGCTGATGGCATAGTGGCTGTTCAATATAGACCCTAGAAAAATATAAAAATGTTGTATTACTTTGATTTTGGAGATCTTAACAGTTTGAGAAGCATAGTTTTGTCAAGTATCACTGAATAAAGTTTCAAATAAAACTTTATATCCAGCAATTTATTGGTTTCTTTCATGCAAAGGGCCATTATAAAACAATTTTCATAAAAGCTTTCTGTGTTTTGTTAAAATCAATCTCTTTTAGAAAATAAAGAATTGAAAAAAGACACTTAAGGTTAAACAAACTGTGCATTCTGACATGCTTAAGTTCTTGCTTATTCTGTGTTTGAAATATGTTTTGCTCATTTCAAAATCTGAATATCATGAACAGTAAAACATTTTTCTGATGCTAGAGCAAGGGCTACCGCCAACAGGATATGTATGGAATATATAATCTGGCTTTTAAGGGGTAGCAGTGGTTCATGGAAGGCTATGTGGCATGTTACATATCTGAATTCATATGGTGGCCCCTGTTAAAATGATGAGTTTTTACTAAAGAGTATAGACACAGAAGATTCCATCTAAATCAGCTATCATACATTGTTCAATGGTAGACTACCAAAGAGAAACCCAACAGTTTCATTAATTCTTTTATAAAGAACAAAGTTTGTTTCATGTGTAATTTGCTTTCCCCTTTTAAATAAAATTAGACTATCAGTATGATGTTGTGCACATGACTTAGGAAAAGATAAAGCCAATGTGCTTAGGAAATAACTGTGAAAAGAAAAATCACAATTATTAACAACCAGTTAATTTGCTGTAACTGAAAATCTAGTCTCTAAGCATAAATGTCCAAGAACATATACATATGATGTGTTTCATAAAGACAGAATGTTTTTAAAGACCCCCAAACACTGCTTTTCCTACCCATTGAAATATGGGCTTCCTATCTTATAGATTTTTCTTTAAGATGATTCATCATCTAAAGCAGCAGAGTTACATCCTTCTTTATAATCTACCAGATTATACTTGGCAGTATTTCCTAAGAATCTTTACTGCTAAGGAAACTTACACTCTATAACCCACCAAACTGGTGAGTAAAGCTTATTATCTAACTTTGTGAAATCCTTCATTTTTTTTTTTTTTTGAACATTCAAGGAAAAATACTGGCACTTATTTGTGGAAACCCGTTTTGGTGAACACAGTACTATTTAGGAGCATCCTGAGGGGCACACGTTAAAAAAAAAAAATCAGGTGGCAGTTGTTCCAAGCTCACTTTTCAAATCTGAAGCTTCGCCTGCTGTGCAGATTCCCTTCAGGAAATGGCTACTCCCTCCCAGCTTTTACTCCCCTGCCCCCCACTCTGCAGCAAAGTGTATCATTAAAAAGAGCAAGTGAGAAGTGTTTTGCATTTCATCTTTCTGAGGATTCTTTCCCTGGCACATACATAACTGACAGTTAGAATTAGACATGATATTAAAATCAGTTACTGAAGTCCTCTGTCTTCCACTGTGCCCAAGGCTTGTAATGGTCTGAAACCAGCTAGAATACACAGTAATTGTCATTCAGAGAGTCTATCCTAGAACGTCATGCTTCACTGGAGAAGACTGAGTTTCCATTTGAAATCAACAAATTAATCCAAGACAGGTATCTGAAAGGGCAAGTTTAATAGGAAGCAGCTACTGGGCTCTCAACCATGATAAAATGTTATTGCTGTTTCCCTGTAAATTGGCTGGGAACATATGATACTTTCTGCATAAGAGCCCCATTGCTGTTCAGGAGATATACAGCTCAAGCCATCAAAAGGATGACAGTCTGTCAGTCCCCATAATAACTTGCCACTGGATATGGTTCGAGAGTACGTGTGTGCATGCATGTGCCTTTACAGTTGCTGGAATGTTCTCTGATATAAACAGAGAATGAATTCATTGCTCTGATTGCATATATAATGCAATTCAAACATCACAGTGTCAAATCTACTCACCTCTAAAACACAAGAATGTTAAATGAACTTTTGAGACAAATAAAAATGATTCATAAATTCTAAAAATAAAAATTAAAGAGAATCCAAACCTTTTGCCTTCACTGTAATCATAGTTTTAAGGATCAAAAAAGTTTTATTCTCTTAAGTGTTTTTACTACTCAGTTTAATATAAGAACAACAACTGGGAAGTTTGTATCACAGGAACTGATCTGGAAACAAAACATCTAAAACCATGTCAATCTTAATCAGTCATTCATTTATTCACCAAGGGTTACTCAGATTGTCCATGTGGGAGAAAAGCATAGAGCGGAGGAGACAATAAAGAAGTTAAGGAGAAGCAGTGCCTGCAAGTCAGGAGGGTGTGAGTTAAGACACATGCCCAGATAACTGTGACTGAGGCAGAGGTGCCATATCCTGTCCCCTCACTCACCCCTCCCTCCTCTCCTCATTCATTTAACTCAGTCTTCACTGAGTGCATGCTATCTGCCAGGAATGTTCTTAAGATACAGCCATGAGTAAATAGTCATTCTCTTTCATGGAGCTTACTTTCTAGATGGAAAGATAAGCAATAAACAAACAAATAAATGTATAGTGCCAGGTAGTGAGAAGTGTTAGGAAGAAAAAAAACATTCACTTCAAATACCCCCTCACAACAACCACAAATAGCAATGACTACCATACCATACCCACAGTGCCCCAACTGTGCCAATAATTGTTTTAAAAGATTTACATGAATTAACTCACTTAATCTTCAGTACAACACAGTAAATACATACTATTCCCATATAAATGAGCAAATTGAAGTCTGTAGCACAACTGAAATGCAGAACTAGACAGATACCCTCTAACCAGCTTGAGGTTCACTGAGTATCGTGTGGTTCGTGAACTGGCCAATACGATGGCATTTTATCATATTATTTAGAAATCTGTTTGAATTTTTATTACAATTGTCTGTATAACAAATAGAAAAAATGGCAAAGAGGCTTTAGTCATCACATAAACGAAAAGACAACCATTAAGGGTGTCTTTTTGCTATTCAGGAGATATACAGCTCCTGAAAAATTATGCTTGTGGAAAAGTTCGCATCTTGAACAGCTTTCAGTTGTTCAAAATGTCTACTACTTCAAGCTTCCCTGGGTAGAAGAAGACAAGATGGTGGTTGTTGGAGGGGCTTGGGACCTTACTGGAAATGCAAAGAACATATCACACTACTAATATTTAAGAAGAAATCCATTCTCAATGGGGCAAAAATAAAAACAAAACAAAAAAAAACTTACATTAAAATGTTGTTTCTAGGTGATGCATAAGAACAAATCTTTGTAATGCAAACAGGGGACTCTCAGGCCATAAAACTACTTCTAAGGCCTAACTAGGAACCCAATTAGAAAGTGGAAAGGTCTAATAAAAAAGAATTTCAAAATATATTATATACCAATATTTTTCACTCTTTATTTTTTTTTTACAACATTTTAAAATTTCACTAACACCCATAAAGGTTCACTGTAAAAGAATATAGGGTCAATAAGAATTTTAAATGGTAAGATTTTATTCTTCTATTAAAAAAACAAAGTCCCAGAAAAAACACTGACTTACAAGAATGAAATTAATCAGAAATGATCACTTCTCAGGAATAGGTAACTCAATTTATAAATACTGACACTAAATACTCTAAAAGAATTCACTTCAAAGTGAACAGAATATAAATGTGGCTGAACCACTTTGATGCTATACTACTTTGTGGGAATTTACTACTTGGGAATTTATGCTTGCTGATGCCAATTTTCTCTTTCACCTTGCAAAGCTCAATAAATCGTGGTCACTCTCTATACTCTATTAGAGAACAATCCTGTCATTTTAAACCATGTCTGTAAACCATGGAGAAAAGACAATAGCAGAAGCACTCACTTTTAGGGCTTTCAAACCACCGACAATTTTGTAAGATAAAGTGATAAAATCCTAATGTTATGAAAATAAGTAATTTATTAGTTGTAACACTAGAAACATAAATTATTTTAACAGTTAAATAAAATGAGTAAGTTTTTGTCTTGTGTTCAGACTTTTAGTATATATTTTATGTGTCTGTATGTATTGGAACATATGTAGAATTTTGGAAAAATTACATATTTTAAAGTTTCATATTTCTAAATACTATTTGTGATAGTGTATCAAGGCCAAAAGTCAGGGAAACACTAAACTGTATTTATTACTTCTGCTCTTAAATGTCTGTATTTGGAATTATATTACTTTTCATTTTTTTCCTTGAAAATACACACTATCAGTAACCAAAGTTTTTCATTTCATTATATATATTTTATTTAATTGATTTTCTACTCTTCTTTCTTAGCTGATACTTGGAGGAAAACATCCATAAGCACTTTCCTATACAAAACTTCATTTAAGAAGGGCATCTAATCAGAGTTCTAACAGGAAAATTATTCAAGGAATTCCAGAAGATGACTCACTGTGCCTAAGGAACACCCTAACCCAGTGATGCTGCAGGTACTAAATAAAGACTAAATGGCAGAGACAAGGGCATATGTCATATTATGGTATAACATAGGTCCATCTAGGCTTTAACTTTTTATGATACATTCACTTATATCTAGAAAAATGGGAATAAAATTATAAAGATGCATATGCAGGGGCTGGGTTGTGGCTCAGCAGTAGAGCGCTTGCTTAGCATGTGCGAGGAGCTGGGTTCGATCCTCAGCGCCACATAAAAATAAATAAATAAAATAAAGGTATTATGTTCAACAACAACTAAAAAAAAGTTAAAAATTAAGAAAACAAAGATGGATATGCATAGTAATCCTGATGTCAACAACAATTTAATTTTGTATGCAATTTTTTGGTTCCAGAAATTTATATTTTCCTCTTCCAAGAAATTAGTCTAAAGAATGGACATGAAACCAAGTTACTAGAAACCAGTTTTTAAATATGATAAGTGACCCACAGCCTACAACTGGCCACAATACAGACACAACACTCTGAAGGCCTCCCTATAGTTTTATTAAGGCTTTATAAAGATATGCCTTACCATCTTATAGACATTCAATTTTAAAATGTAAATGGTACAGGATATTGATAAACCAATTAGCACTGATGCAAAGCAAATTCCTCTTTTATCTCAATTACAACATGACAACTTAATAGGTCAAGATAGTTTAACATCTGAGACAAGGGCAATTCAATAAAACAACAGTATCTTGATATGGTAATTAAGAGGAAATGTGAATCCATTACCATGTTTTTAAAAATATCTCAAGCACTTTGGCTCATTTTATTGCTTGTATCAAAAGCTGTGATATGAACCACTACTCTGCTTTGTGATATATTTGGTTAGCAGCTTGGTGAATGTGAGGAAAAAAGCACCTGAATAAAACATCTTGCTTACTAAGCATTTTCTAAAGTAAGAAATGTATATTTATTATATTCACAAAATGTAAAATAAATCAAAAATTAATTAGGTGATTAATCATTTGTAGATTCCTAAACCAAAAGATTAAAGGCTAAAATTAAGACATTAACCTTAAGTATTCTAAAAGATGAGCATCTGTAGTAAAAACAGAATTCCTGAATCACTTTAAGCAAAGTATGAGTGACATTTATTTTAAAGACAGATCCTAATGCCAACTAACCAAACTACAGGCAAGTTAAAATGAAAGTTATGCATATGAATTGTAGCTTTATGAATGCAACCAAACTACCAAGAACACTTTTAGTGCAGATTTTGGGGACTATATTTAGAATAGGTACATAAAACTAGTCACACAGTAGCATAAACTTGAATTCACATACATTAAAGCTGTGTTTCACACAGATTTTTCCTGACACTGCCAAAGAATGTTTAATTTTTATAGTAAAAGTGTTCCTTGCATTTAACATAATAGAAGAAATGGGACTTCCATATAAAAAAGGATAATATAACTTAAAATGCACAGTGCAGTACATTTTATGGCTATAGCAAAGAGTATTCATGCTCTCCAGGGTCCTATTGCTTGTCCAATAAGCAAAGTCTATTAAAGTTCAATAATGAAGTGCTTTCAAAATGTCCCTGGATCAATTCATTTATCTCTCACAAACATCAAGTTTTTTTTAATACCAAAACTCAAATAGGAAAGCCAATAAAAACTGTTAGTATATGAAAATGTACTACTAGACAAACCTGATTCCAAGATTCATAGCTTCAGCGGTTCCAATCATACTAATAGCTAACAGCATGTTGTTGCAGATCTTTGCAGCCTGAAAAAGAATACATGCGAAATATCTCTATTTTCACGTTAAAACACACAGGAAATTTTTCTTTGCCCAATTCCATAGATTTCTTTCCAAAGGAAGCAGCTTTCAACTGTTGATTCTCATGCAGCATGCTTCCAAAGCCCAATGGCTACCCCACAGCAGACATGGGGATCTCTTCCACTAGGTCATAAACTCACAGTGGTGACCCAGCACCTACTATGGGCTCAGCACTACAGGGAATATCCCTCCATGTGGTATGACTGTTCTTTAAGGGATGGAACTTAGAACTCACTGGGAATGGGAATAATATGCTACATGGAAGGCAAAAAATGAACAAACAAAACAATAAAATGACACAATATATGGCAGAGGTTATGAGGCAGAGAGAGCATAACTTCAGAGAAACAAGATCACCAAAGACAAGAGGTGGAAATCGTCTCACAGGAAGCCAAAGGAGGATATAAATAGGCAAGGAAAAGAAAGGAGGAGATTAGAGTAAAAGATAAATATATAAATAAAGGGGATTAAATTTTTAGGAGCATTAGATGTTTCTGGAATTAGTAAGAAAATTACTCATATGTATAGAGTTTAGGAAATGGTGAGAAATTTGGTTGTTGAAATTGTCAAGAGCTTGTTACCAGCTATGAAGGCTAAGACAGAGAGCTAAGATTTGATGTTAGGAAACAGGAATCTACTCAAAGTTTCAGAAAAAAGAAGTACATATCATGATACAAGCACCTTGTTAGTCTTGGTTTTGGTTATTGTGTTGCACAGAGTGATACATTTGGCATCTAGAGACCTATTAGGCCCTCTGAGCAGTAAACTAGGTATGAGATAATGAAAGAAAGATTGGACCAGGTCATATGTGGCATGGACAAGATGGTCAGCAATCAGTCACAGAAGCAAAACTCCACAGAGCTTAAAGAATGACATATAAGGTATGGAAACAATAAATGTACCTAGGATAATACAGAAGTCTTGCGTGAGAGAAAGAGAGTACTGGTAACTAAGATTAAAGCCCTGTTTGGGGGCTGGGGATGTGGCTCAAGCGGTAGCGCGCTTGCCTGGCGTGCATGCAGCCCCAGTTCGATCCTCAGCACCACATACAAACAAAGATGTTGTGTCCGCCAAAAACAAAAAAATAAATATTAAAATTCTCTCTCTCTCTCTCTCTCTCTCTCTTTAAAAAATTTTTTTTAAAAAAAGCACTGTTTGGAAGGAGGAAGGGAGGAAGAATTGAAGGAGTGTGTGTATGTTAGGAGTGGGAAGGGTACAACTTATTTGACTTCATAGTTCAGTATTGTCAATCACCTCATATTTCTAGATGAAAATTATTTGCTTTTCAAGAAAAATATTAAAAGACATAGGTTACTTCTACTTGACCGTAGTATAAATGGAGCTATAGCAAGTAATTACAAATTCAGATGGAGGGCAACAGTTACTCAGACAACATGAGCACCTAAACAGAAATAGTTTTAAGGATGATTTCAGGGGTGACATATCAAGATCATAATGATGGAAATTTTGATATTTTTTAAAAGTTTTATTTTAATAAGTAAATTGGCTGGCATCTGCTTAAGCCTACCAAGAATGAGCAGAATAAAGAGAAAAAAGAATGTGGTCAGGAAATAGAAAACACCATGAGCCAATTTTGCATCATTATATCAAGGTCATTAATGTGACAATTTTACCTGCCCGGTCCCAACAGCTCCACAATACACCACATTGGAGCCCATGCACCCCAGCAACTCTTGGGCAGCAGCAAATTCCTCTTCAACTCCTCCTACCATAAATGTTAGGTTCCCAGACCGAGCAGCTCCCACACCTGAATCATTTGGGTGTAAAGAGACAGAAGCAAAAGGATACATTTCTTTAAATGTTCACATAGTAAAAGGAGAGAAAATCCCCAAACCAAATGAAAACATCTGGCCTCCAAATTGTATATATACCACATATGTCTAAGATGCTCTACATCTCCACAAGAATATTTCAGTAATCAAGTGCCATGAGGTTAACCACAAACAAAAAGAGACACATAGATTTAATCTTACTCTCATTCTCAATTCATCTTAAACATTTTGGCACGATACATATAGGATTTTGAAATGCGAATTTTATTCTAATTCATCTATTATTCTCCTTAGAAACCTATTCCATGATAGGTTTGCCTGGGCTCTGACAAGCACAGCAGCAGCCAGAAGGATTTGCAAAGAGATCTAAAAAGAAAGAACTTGCTCTCTCGCCCATAAACAAGAAGGCATTTCAGGTGGTAAGATTGTTTTTTTTGTTAAGAGAAAGAAAATTTGTTTACTAAGACTGATTATTCCTGTGTGTACTTTCCAGATCTTGCTGAGTTGCTTAGGGTCTTACTAAGTTGCTGAGGCTGGCTTTGAACTCAAAAAAAATCCTCCCATCTCAGCCTCCAGAGCCACTGGAATTACAGGTGTGTGGCATGGTGACCAGCCGTTCCTGATTTATCTTTTAGGTAATTCATTCCTAGTGATATGAGCAGAAAGTAGAAATAAAATTTAATTTTCTTTGGCTACTTCTTAATTACTTTTAACAAAGACTTCATTGATTAAAATGACTGGAAAAACAACTTCTAATTTGACATATAAAACTTGGCCTAGGCTTGTCTAAAAAGGGCACAGAGAGCCTCGCTCATTTTATTAACATTAAAATAAAAGCAAGAGAATTATTACTCCTTTAGTATTGAGAGAAATCTTAATTCATAATTTTCAAGTGCGGTTTTGTTCAAAAATAGGAATGTCTAAAAGGCACAGTGCCACACACCTATAATCCCAGCAACTGAGGAGGCTGAAGCAGGAGGACCGCAAGTTTAAGGCCAGCCTCAGGAACTTAACAAGATTCTATCTCAGAATAAAGTTTTAAAAAGGGCTAAGGATGTAGCTCAGTGGTAGAATGCCCCTGGGTTCAATCTCTAGTACTGAAGCAGGGAAAAAAGGGAGGTAAATGGAAAAACTATCATATTATAATTTTTACTTTTATAACTTATTTTACATACAGCTAGGAATAAAGGAACTATAGCTGTATTAAGTATTGAACCTTGCCATTAAATAGATAGCTATAAGTAAAGGCCTCCTTTCTGATTTAATTTATTCAATAAAATAAAGCTTTGACATTAAAAAAAGCCAAGATTTCTTATTTTATTCAAATGTAATATTTTGCTATTGCCAACTTCAGTAGCTTTCTCTTCTGTAGTTCACACTATTTTTAACCAATTATTAAAGGCAAAAGAAGGTAGCATTGTTAGTAACAACCTTGGAGGAAAGAGTGCCCACGTTATAAAAGCTGGAAACACTTGCACATACGGTTGAGATTACATTATTTCACAATATCTTCCAACACACTTTGGAATGGATTATGTACAAAAATCCAATTATACAAAAAATACTTTCAATTATCTGACCTATGTCATTTGAATATTTGATAATACTGATGTTTAAGTGGCTGTCATTTTGCTTGTTTCTAACTTACTTCACCAAGATGGTGAAACCATTAATGTTTTACAATTATTTTGCTCAATTTCTTTAGTTATTTTTATTCAAACCACATAAACACTCTTTCTCCTAATCCTGTTGATCTGACCTAGAGAAATTAAGTAGACAATTTAAGTCAAAGCTTACAAACAAATCCAGCACTATCCATCATAGGTCAACAGCTTTGTATCTAGATTACAGACTGCTAAATAGCTTCAGAGAGTCATTTATTAAAGGAAAATTAATGCTGACAATGGTTCTCAGCTGGTTAATCTTTTGACAGGTGCACTTTCTCACTTGTTCAAACACATATTTCAAAAAGAAGAAATAAGTTATTTAAGCAAAAGCAGACCACAAAAGAAAGAATAATTTATCTTTTAATTCTGAAGTCTCTGGTAGTTCCACTCTTTCTTCCTCTCAAAGAGGTGTTGTAATAATTTCTGACTTTATCATAACCTATATCCTAATGCAAGGGTCTAACTAAACTGGGTAATTTTAAAGTTTGGGCATTTCTTAGGACCAAATCTTATCTTTCCATATATATTATTTTATCCATATGATACTATCAAGTCTAGTCCTATTGCAAAGGCATAACTAGGACCTGAGTTATTCTAAAAGAAACCTAAGCATTTTGGACTAAGGAAAGAACATCTAGGAAGCTGGAACTCAAAAATTGTGTAGACATTTTATGAATTTCAGAAGACATTGTATGGATTTTAATGTCTATCAACAGTAAACAAAAAAATGTATGTATTATATGGCCATACCATTTTAATTCAAGTCTGTTTTCCAAAAGAAGATGTGAAATGCATACTCAGTTGCAAGAATACTGAAAGAAGTATTTACAGTTCAAGGATCCCTAATCCAAAAAATGTGAAATCTGGAATGTTCCAAAATTTAAAACATTTTGAGCACCAACATGACACCTCAAGTAGAAAACTCTATACCTGACCTTATGTGACAGGACGAAGTCAAAAATGCAGACGCACTAAAAATACTGTGTAAAATTACCTTCAGGCTATGTCTATAAGGCATATATGAAACAAATGAATTCCTTGTTTAGTAAGCCCCCCAACCCCAAGATATCTCATTACATAAAGCAATATATTCCAAAAATCTGAAAAAATCCCAAATCTAAAACACTTCTGGGCCCACCAGATGAGGGAAACTCAACCTATACTTTACTTATGTATTTTAATAGTGGTATATAAAAAAACAAAATATATTCTATGCTTAATTTTACTATGGCATTTATCATACTTTATTAAAATCTTTGATATTCTTTTCTGAGTTTTCCTATGGGGTCACCACCGGGGTCTTGCTTATGTCAGCTTCCCCATTATCTATCAAAGTATATGATATATTCAATAAACAAGTGGAAAACAGAAGAATAAGCATAGTAGAAAAACAGTTAAGGATCTGGAGATATAATATCTGGGTTTGGGGATATATTATCTGCTGGATGTGTGATAATAAACAAGATTATTTAACTTTTGAGTCTCAGAGTATAAAATTGGAAAAGCATTAATAACTTTGTCATAGAATATGAATATGTGAACATATGCACTAAAATAAAAATGCCACTTAAATATAAGGGCTTAATATTTTATAAACTTGGGCTTACAAAGTAGGTGTTTAATTCCTATTTGATTATTTAAGCCATGATTTCCTCTGGGGTCATCTTGGCCTTGTTTGCTAAATATTAAATGATTTGTTCTACATCCATAAACAACAGAAGCAGGCTAGCCCAAGTTAAGTATTACAGAGCAGTCCATGTTAAGACTGCAACATTGTGAAGACCTCTTGCAAAATCTCTCAATGGGAGCATAGTATCGGAAAGGTATGAGAAATCTGCATTTGCTTCATCCATTCAACACTATTAATTGGATGCCTATTAATATCAGGTCCTGTGATTAGCTATAGTGTCAAGGCTGAATCACCTTTCTCCCTGCTTCTAAGAAGACATAAACCTGTGATCTGGCCACTTCTCTGTCCATCACTACCACCCTAGTCTGAACCACTGCCATCTCTAGTGTGGACTTCTGCAATAGCTCCTATATGATCTCCTTTCTGCTCTTGCCTCCACAGTCTGTTCTCCATATAGCAGCCAGAATAATCCTCGTAAAATATAAACCTAGTTCATGTGTCCTCTCTTTCTCAACCTTCCAAAGGCTTCCCATCACTTCCAATATAAATCCAAAGTTCTACAAAGCCCCAGAGGGCCCTTTAACATGGCCCTTGGCTACTTCTCCTATGTTATTTCACATCATTCTTTTCATCACTTGCTGCTTTCTAGCTACCTTGGCTTCCTACCAGTTCCTGAAATAGGTCAAGCATATTCCCATACCTTGCATGTGCTCTTCCTTTTGCCTTGAATGTTCTTCTCCCAGGTATTCATGACTTATAGCCTTCACTTCATTCACATCTCTGCTCAAAATTCACCTCTTCCAAGAGGCTTTCCCTGTTCACTCATTGTAACAATCCAAAAGAGCACCTTATCACTCTTGATCTCCTTTACCTGCCTTAATTTCATTCACAGTACTTACTACCACCTGTTTAAGACCTCTGTTTCAGTTTGTCTTCTCCACATGAACATTTGCTTCTTCAGGGCAGTGACTGCTGGCTCCCTGACCCCATATCCAAAGTCTGATACATAGGGGATGCTCAGTTAACCGACTATTGGTTCAAAGAGAAAAATATGCTGTGGTTTGGTGTGTCCCCCAAAAAGGCACATGTTAGAAACTTATACCCAATGTGACAGTGCTGAATGGACAAGTTTGAATCTCTCCCACATACTCTCACACTCCTACACACTCTCTTGTCCTATCTTTGCCCTTCTGCCACAGAATGATGCTGCAAGAAGGCCCCTGCCAGATGCTAGCCCCTTGATCTTGAACTTCCCCACTGTAAAAAGTAAATTTGCTTTTCATAAATTATCCAGTCTTAGGTGTTCTGTTATAGCAGCATGAAAAGGCCAAGAAAGTAGACAGTAGGAAAGGAAGACTGAGAAAATGAACAACTACAGCGAGTACTGAGAGCTAACTGCTTTCATGGAGATCTGCCAGATCTGCCCGGGATCACAAAGTGTTTTTGTCATTCTTGCAAGTTACTAAATACCGCTTGCCCTAAGTTTTTTTTTTAAATTATGGAGTGAAGCAGACAAAATAATCACTGAGTTACTTTGAAGCTTTTGAAATTCTATAATAATTTGGGTTTCTCGAATTCATATACATCCACATTTGAACATTCATCAAATTAACACACAAACCAAACTGATGTTTCACTTTGTACAAATAATATATAAATTGTTTCAAATTAGAAAAAA